TCTAAGTATATCATACATCCAAGTCTAGTTCTTGTCTTAAATCAATATATTAATGAAAATAGAAGAGGAATATCTCTGTGGAATATTTTAAAACCCAACTGGAAACAAGGGAGTTCTATAACTAAGGAAGTGAATATACTGACATGCTACTTAAGAGAGATTATGAAAGAAATATCTATTGATTGAATATAATTAGCATGGGTTTGAAATAGAGATGCTAAAACTTTTAAAGACAGAAACAGAGCCTGATGTTTGAGGGGAAGCAAGAGATGAATATATTGTCATTGAACCAATTTAGAAAACCTGCTGAACACTTGATATWACTAGAGTAATTACTGGTACCCATAAGGCAAGAATGGGGTTTTATTTTGGTGAGCATCACATAATACAACRTGGCATGCATTATATTAGGGGAAACAGTGCATATGTCATTCTGTAATCAGACTTGGGGCACAATACTCGGATGACTGTATGAAATGTCATGACTGGCTGATCAGACTAGATGATTTCACATCATCCTTCTGGACTTAAGGTCTTAAAAAAAAAGGCTGAATTGAAATATCCATCTAGATATGTGATTTTTTTTTTTATAAAACTTCAACCATGATATAAGGACAAGAGGAAAACAATCTGTCAAAGAAAAAAACTTCAAACTTCTAGAGCCATTTCTATCTGCAGTGTAASTTACATGTACGTATGTAAGATGAGCATGGTATACAATAACTCTGTTTCCAAGGAGCACTAACACCTAATGTAAATGATAACTTAAGTCAAGTCAGATTAATGTATTAGTCTTATTTAATACTGACGTGCATAATAACACTTAGCAATTATTGCCCCGTATGTGATTTTTAGTAYAGCTTTAAGTCACAATATTTGGACAAACAATGAGCTTTCTACTGGAAAAATATAGAAAATTTTAAAAGCTACGTAAGTCACTTTAGAAACTAGTCTTACAAAACCAAAAGRAAAATCCAACCTAAAAGACCCAAGGCAAAACCAAGAGTCACTAGACACCAAAAAAGCCAAATACTTCTGTTTTCTCTGAAAGCAGCAATATGATTTTAAGAGTGTGTTAATCAATATTTATTTAAACAGTGTGAGAGTCTAATTTTTTTTTCTTGAAAGGTGAAATGAAGACAGGCAACTGGAAACAAGTATCTTTCTTTTAAATATGTATGTATAAAAAAGATTAAAAAAAAAAAAGTTAAACATTGTCACAGCTTCTTCTTTGCATAAGTTTCCTGAAAGAAAAAGCTGTTCTCTGAAACAGGCTGCTATTAAAATGCTAAAGGAATCTGGAGCCACAAAGAAAACAAATTATACTATTTTTGAGTTGAAAATAGCTGTCCATGCTTCAAAATGGATCTTACTCTTAGTAAATTAATTTATCTCATGTTTTCCAAGTGTTTCTATAAAAATAAAATCTGCCAAAACAAGCCTCTGCTAGGTCACTACAATCCTCCTCAGCTTCCAAGGGAGCCGTTTTCTGTATGCCAAGAACCAGAGTACTGTGAACTACATATGTCTGGAGATTTCCAGGAAAAGCATCAGCTTCATTACATATTTACTCCAAAGGCTCCCCAGCAGCTATTTCTACCTTCAAAAGAGCATCATCAACAGCTCTCTTCCCAGGATGTTTTTTAACAAGTGGGCTCAGAAGTCTCTTTTGCAGGTGGTAATTCCCAATCAGAAGCACATCATACTTTCTGCAGAAGCAGTTACATCTATCACATACATCCTCACAAATATGGTATCTCCCTTTTTTGTTGAAGAATTTTACCCATATTTACAGATACAAAAACAGATGAAAAAGCAGAAAGAGAAAGGGCCTTGTTTYTTCTAAAACCTATGAAGCGTTGGCCCAAAGGTGTTTGCCATTATATCATAAGAAAGAAAAGAAATTCTCCTTMATACATTTTTTATAGCATGGGAAACTGAATTTATGTGTTCATTGGTTGATTTATCTTCAAAGATCTGGATACTGTCTACAAAACCCCAAACAAACAAACAAAAACAATACAAAAAACCTTAAAACAAAAGTTTTTATTTTCACAGAAGTTATTTACTGTTCCTCTTCATAAGGACTGCTTGAGAATAGCTAAGCCAAAGGTCACTGTCTGGCATCTCAGTTTCCTAGACATGTGGTGTATGATTCTGACCTTGCCTCCAGCAATGCCAACCAACCTTAAGAAAGTTAGCAGCAACAGATAATAAATGGATTCATGTTCCATATCAATCACTTTTCAATTGAATCTCAGAAGTCTGAAACCCAAAAGTGAACGCTTGTCCAGAGGTAAAGCACAAATGAAATGGCTTATATTTCAAAGCAACGAGTTCTGCATTTGCATTTCCCCAAATCAACCTAACTCCTCAACAACAACACAAAGGCTTCTATTCCTCTTTTGACAGATATCCTCAGCTTGAAAAGCACGTGGCTTCTCATTGATCACGACAATCACAGGTATGATTTGACATTTGACATATCAAGCACAATTTTTCAACCCAATAAACTTTTTAGACCAAATTGATCCATTCCTCAAAATATGAGAGCACAGGGACATGTGTTTTTCAAACAAAGCACAGCAAAAAAAATTCAGTGAAATTTTCTGACTTTATAATTAAAGTTTTACATAGATTTTATTACAGTAAATAACTATAACATTTGTTACATTTATTACTACTTCTCTGTGCCTTTMATGTCTCCTGCCCTCTTCAAAGATTGCAAACACCTCTTACAGTCATTGGTATCATAAACACCACTGTTTACTCTGTTGCCATTGCTYAGTGACCATGTTCTATTTATGTTATGAGAAGCAACACATGAAGTTAGCCCAAGTGTTCCAAGAGAAAGAATGCAAGGAGACCTTTTAAAGCTATATGTCAGCACAGATGAAGAAAATGTAATATTTGTTTTGTTGAAAAACAGCTTAATTATGAGCTCAATCATCTTTCTCCATACTGGCAGTACTTTTGAATAATAGTTTATCTCTAGATATATTTTTGACTAAAATCGAAGACATATGGAGCAAAATCACATACCAAACAGTAAAGTAACTCATTCTTTTTTCTAAAAAGCAGGGGGCTGTCCATTTGTACAGTCAGTGAGAAACTTAATTTCATTTACTCCTATAATGGAAAATCAGTTCAATGTATTTTGTCTGTCTGAAGTACAGCATTGTGACATCACCTAGAATTTTTCTAACAGAACATTAAATAATGGATGTGTGTCAAAACGCAATATTGTGGAGAAAGGAAAACCTCAAAAGCAAGTTTGGCTTTTGGCTTGGTTGCTCATTATTATTATTATTATTATTATTATTATTATTATTATTATTATTATTATTATTATTATTATTACTTGGTTTTGAGCTTAGTACAGTCTTCAAGCTTCAAGATAGGTCTGACCAGAGATACCTGTCAAGAAACAAGTTTTGTTAAAAGAACTGTTAACTTTTGGTACCTTGCACCAGAATAGGTCAAGACATTATCTTTTTAGTCAGCACTACCTTAAATTTGCTGGCAARGCTGTTCTTGGTGATAAGTAAATGTAGAACTACTTTATTACAAGCTCCTTTTTGCTGTGGTTCACAGGAATCAGAAATAGCTTTGCTAATATATTGCCATTTGAAATCCTTTTCATCTAGTGGATTCAGCACCAATTGCCTCTAGTACTCAATTCATTGATTTATAGGGGTGGGAGTTTTGTTTGTAAAACACATGACCAGGGGTAAACTAGCAATCATCACAACACTAAACAACAGAGAAGTTCTTGCCACTGTTCCATACTGTGATTCACATTCTAACAGGCAGATACATCTTCTACCTACGCAACTTCCCTGGRCAATCTTTGAGCACCAGAATAAAAACTAAGGCAGGTATTTTTCTACAAAATAATGCAGTGACACAGGTTGAAACACTGGTATGTGCCCAAGTAATGCTATTGACATGAAAGAGAATACAAACACCTAAACTATGGGCAATTTTCAATTCCAATGATGTGTCATAAATGTCAAGAAAAACTCCACATTGCAACGTTTCTTTCTTGCGCTCCTCTTTTCAGAACAGAAAACATGACTAACCTTTAACACCCAAAGAGAGAACTGGCATATAGCAAAACACCCAATGAAGAGCAATGCCATAATTTTTATAAAATCTCTACAACTCAGCAGCTATTATCCCAGTGCTGGCAGATATCATAAGCTGAATTCATGCATTAATTTAAATCAAGMAGCAATGAATGCCTTTGGAAGTGAAAGAACATTGCTTTATAATGGGAAATTTAGACACCTTCAGCAAGGAGAAAGCTGCCTAAAAGTAGCTGTCTTTAATGTTTCTCTTTGAATTCCTGTTCATGCTGTTGAAACAAATGAGGTAGTGACAGCGGCCATCTTCTAATGTACAAAGAGGCATTCAAAGCAAAATCTCTGACACTCAGCCCACAAAAATTTACATAAAAAGGTCCAAACTCATCTTATTAGCATCAAACAGACCATCACACTGAAGACACTTTTTGTAAAAAAGTATAATACTTTTGGTTTTAATCATCCATAACTGAATGCCTCAATCTACCCAGTTTTGCCCCGAGATAATCTCACATCAAGTTTTACACAAAAGAACCCCCAAAACCGTGAATATAAATTTAAGTATTACTTTTAGTAATACTTTTAAAATTCCACTATAACACATCTTCTCCACCATTCATCTTTCTATAACTCTTACATTAAATGACTACATACAAAGTATGTAATGTCACATGCCGACTACCAACATACGGATTTCTGAAAAGCACCATCCACAGTAAAGAGTGAAAGTGGAGAATAAAACAAGCAATTCAATTAAATTATAATAAATTTACTGTMGGAAAGCTTACAGAAGTATACTAAGACATGAAGAAATAGTTAACATTCTTTGTGAAATGTGTTTGTGAACTAAATTATTCAGATATCAGCTATGAAACATTTGTAAATGATGCAGATGCAGATGCATCACTTGCCTACCTGTTCTTTGACTGAAGCTAGAATGGCAGAGGTTGTCTCAGTTTCAGAGCCATCGCCATTGGATGTGTTCAACACAGGACTAAGGGAACTTGTCTTGTCAGAAGACGAGGGCTGGTCTGGAACAGGCATAGTTTCTGCAGTTCATGGAAAAATGAAAAAATGAATTTATTATAATCAACCAGATAAATATGAGAAATAATATACATATAAGAATAATAATACTCATTTGAGGTAAAAATTGTAGAACATGCTTCTGTTCTGTAATATAGAATATATCCCATTTAAAATGAAAGAGATTTCTGAATATTTTTTTTTAAATTATTACAATTATCTCCCAGTCTTCCTCTGAAATTTTTACCATCAGTACATGTGAAGAGGATTCAAATMATTTATATCTGTGATTTTTGTATACTATTCCAGTGGCAGCACACAGCATAAAATTATAGTATCATGAAAGCAATGAATCATGAAACGCTTTGCAAACAGAAAAGCAACAAATGATACATGAGAGAAGTATAAACCATCTAGTGCTGACTTGCTAACACACGTGATTATTTAACATGTACTATATTTTAAGCCTAGGTAACTTACATAGCCTTTGTTCTAGTCTAGAAGGTGATTTTGACAACATTTTATCAGAGTATTTTTGAGAAAAACAGCACACCAGTTGTTAGGCCAGTTTTAAGACCTTTTACAAAAAAAAAGAAAAAAAGAAGAATCTTGGCACATGAAGGCATTTCTAACATTTCTTTTTAGAGGGTAAAATAGTGGTGTGACAGTGGAATGATTTATCTTTCTGAAGGCTAAGCTACAGAGTAGTATCTCTTTTTAAATGTCACCATAGGCACATCTCTAGAGGCAGACACGTTGTGCCACATTCCAAAAGTAAAGGCACAGAGCGGCAGCTTGCATAGTTATGCGCAGGCACGCGCATAACGTTAGGATAAAATCATGCTCATGGGGGAATTGGCCAGAATTATTCTGTGGAACAGAAGTGGCCCACCGGCTGCCAGCTGGATGGGCCTCCTAAAGAGCAGTGGGGATATTCAGAGCACTCACCACTCACATCAGAAACAAAGCTCCTGCCTTGGCTCTATTCTGCTAAAGTATAAAACAATAGAGCTTTTTCTGGAAGCAGTGAGAAGAGTGAAAACAGTAGGAAAGGGTAGTTGGTAAAAGCAAATATAACATTCAATACCCAGACCAAGAATGCCCACACTATTCTGGAAATTGGAGCTCTAAAAGAAGGGAAGATGACATGCTATAAAGCTTTGTCTCTGAAGCCACTGTGCTGCCTGAGAACACACATTTAGCCCTGCTGGGTAGCATTTTTTGAAAGCTTTCTGAAGCTCACGACACTGGCATATGTAAGTCAAAAACATGAAAACACAGATTATTCATTAAAAAAGCCAGTAATTTGTTGGAAGAAAAATCTCTCTAAATTTCAGRGTAGATTAGTTTCTATATTGAAAAATGTGATTATATATAATTTTAATTAAAGAAGCAATATATTTTCACAYAGCTTACTTTTTGTAAGCAAATCTTACTGAAAATGGTAAATAATGAATTTTTGGCTCTAGTAATATATTTGCCCCAGACACAGCCATTATTTGAAGTTAAACAATAAAAGCTTGGAGGATCTGCCTGCCTTTTTTTTATCACAAGTAAAAGCAGACCATACAAAATTCCTACGCAATTCCAGTACCTCAATCTAAATGGACTTTTGGACTTACATTTTCTTGTTTTGTTAAACAAAAGAATCTGCTTCTGTTGTAAGAAGTTTACTAGTTTGTTTAATTGTCATAGAACTAAACTTGCTAYTGGCTTGTAAAGTATCACAGAAAAGACATGTAGGCACACACATAGAAATGCTTATTCTGTTACGTTGCTTTCAAACAATCTAGTTGTTTAATTTGCTCAATTAATCAATATYAATCAATAATCACAGCATCACAATAGAAATAAAAGTAATTTTCAATGTGGCTATTTACCTGGAAACAAAATGGCCTAATACTTGATCTTGTAACCTAACAGAGTGATATTTATAACCTAATATCACCCTGGCATGCACTCTGGGTGGTGGGAAGCTGTGCTTCCTGCTCAGAGCAGCTCACCAGGGTGACACATGGAACTACAGCAGCATGAGACCCAAAGAAATGCATCCCGGGACTGCACTGGGGTGGGAAGAAACACCAGAGCTGTGAATAAGGCGCCTGGTGAAATGTTTTCAGGCGCACTGGCTGAGAGTAGCTCCCCTGCTGCATGCTGCTTTCCCTGCAGAGGTGAGGAAGCTTTTTGGAAAAAGCCCCTTTGAGTGCTCAGCTCGTCCCCAAGCTCTCCCAACGCTGCCTGACCCCCGGTGGTGGGGAGGCTCTGCTGAACYGGCTGTTTCATAAACTTTTAATTGAGCTCAGTCTTGGCATAAGAAATTGGACATTCTCAGGTTTCAGTGGGACTTAAAACTGCCAGTATTGTAGAATTACAAAAAAAAAAAAATATGGTTGAAATGAACTTCTGTGCCTCTAGCCCACTACCAAATCGCTAGACAAGGCAGATTTTTTCCTGTCATTTCACATATTTAACCCACAGAATCATCCTGCACAGTTTCTCTCACTGCAACCTTCCCTTAGCCACCTCCCTCTGCTCCAAGCTCCGTTGGCCTTATCAAGAGAGAACTTGCTTTTCTGTTTAATATAATATATTTAAGCTCCCTGTTTCCTGCACTGTTCAGCATGGATACAAAAAACCTAATAATTCCATCATTGTCTTCAAAAAAGCATTTTCTCACATAATGATGATGACCATGGTACCTTTCCTTTTTCTCAGCTTCCCTTCCCTAAAATAGCCACCCCGATTCTTTTYATTTTCCATCATAAAGTAAGTTGGCTGATAGCCTTTTAACCCACACTCCTGGGAACTTAGCACCAAAAATAAAGGGAAAATTAGAGGAAGTACAAGAAAAAAAATAAAAGCTAAGCAGCTTAACAGAATACACCATAGCTGAGAAACAAGAAGTAAATCGGCTACATTTAATTTCCACAACAGCAACACTATTTCCTATCTGTGTCACAAAAACACAGATGAGATTCTGTAAGTCAGAGCATATACATGSTCCTGAGAGAACCAAATTAAAATCTTAGACAATCATAGACAGCCGAACAGGGAAAATACTACCAGCCTTTTGGGAACATACTGGGAAATCAAACATAAATAATTCATGGATTCCCGTATTCCAAAGCACTGGCAAAATTCTGACTAGAGTTTGACCCTTTTTTCTCTCCTGTCCTTCTAAGAGCATCTAAAAAAATTGATGTAAATTTAATGAAAAAACCCAGCGATGCTATACATCCAAATAAGACCACCCTTTCCCTACCTGGGTGCGGGTGTCCGGGTGTCGGCCCCGCAGAGCGGCCGGGGCTGCTCCGGACGGTGCCAGCGGCTCCAGCGGCTCCAGCACAGGGCACGACTGAGCCCCTGAGCCCCGGGGAAAGCCTGGCCAAGGGAGGGCAAAACGCTGCCCAAAAAGGGCAGCCGGGGCTGAGCCARGGGAACCGTGCGGGAAACAGCCCTGAGAGCCCCGAGGGGACAGCGGGAGTGGGGACGGACGGAGGAGAGACCCGGCACGGATGGATGGCCCTGCGCCGGGGAGGGACCCGGCGGGACTGGGGTGCCCCCGGAGTTTGGGACCGTCCCACGATGGAGCGGGGCAAGCGTGAAGAGGAAGACCAGCAGAAAGCTGCCGGGCAGAAATGGACCTGGACGCCATCTGAACATGAGCCAGCGTGTGCCCAGGTGGCCGAGAAGGCCAATGGCATCAGCAAYGGTGWGGCCAGCAGGACCAGGGCAGGGATTGTCCCYCTGTGCTCAGCACTGGTGAGGCCACACCTCGAATCCGGTGTTCAGTTTTGAGTCCCTCACTACACGAAGGACACTGAAGTTCTGGAGCAAGTATAGAACAGCTGAGGAAGCCGGGGTTGTTTAGCCTCGAGAAAAGGAGGATCGGGCAAGACCTTATCRCTCCCTACAACTGCCTGAAAGAAGGTCAGGGTTGGTCTCTTCTGCCAAKCAATGCATGGTGCAACAAGAGGAACCAGACTCAAGCTGCACCAGGAGAGGTTCAGACTGGATATTAGAAAAAAAATTCTCCACCAAAAGGGTTGTCAAGAATTGAAACAGTCTGGCCAGRGAACTAGGGAAATCATCATCCCTGGAACTACTCAAAACACAGGTAGTTGAGGTGCTTAAGACATATTTTAGTGGTGGACTCACAGAGCTAGTTAATGGTTGGACTCAATGATCTCAGAGGATCATCAGTTTGTACTTCTGTGATCCAAACTTTTGTTATTAGACCACACAATTGGCAACAGTAATAACATGACATTCATAACTGGGAAATAAAAAGACTACATTCCTTCTGTGACCCTTGGGATGGCAGTGGATGCTGGATGGCACACATCCTTCCTTCTGAGAGGATTTAATGCCTTGTCTAAGTTGATACAACCAACATAGCTAGTTCCAAGGTCAAATTGCAGAAGTCTCTTCAGGGTGAACTCAGGTACAGAGGTACACTCTACACTATAAATAAATCCTTAGATAAAACAAAATATTTATAGGGTTTCAAAATGCATATGAAAATGGCAATGTCAGGTGTTGAGGTTTCACTTTAAAGTTTAATTTTGCACATACACTTTTACATAGGTTATGGGCAGAGATTTACTAAATAAGGAACTAAAGAGGTATAGCCATGAAGGGGTCATTGGTAAAAGCAGTTTGGTGCCATAGTTCTCTAATTACACGTTGCCACTATTTCTGCTCTTTCTCAGATGGGGTAGTTACATCTGTCTTTCACTACCTTACTCTCCTCCTCCACATCAGGAATAACTAAGCCTCATTCATGGAAAAGAAAATCTAGAACTGAAGAAGCCACAGCATCAATGCTTAAAGAAGATGGGAATGTTGCTTAAAGAGGCAGAGTTTCATTTTTGAGTATTAGATTGAAATTTCTTTAAAARTCACTGTTAATGTTGTTTATAAAATCTAACATTTAAGTTACCTTTTCGTGGCTAGAAAAGTGCATATAGATTAAAAATCTCCAAAAAAAGCAACCAACTCCACAATGTCTGAAAATCTAAGG